GTCACACATCAAAGATGGCCAGATAGAAATGTGGGAGCAGCATGTAGCAGCATGAATGAAACACACGCACTGCTGTGTTCTTACACTGATTTATGACTGTAGGCAATAAAATTAAAAAGTAATATACATAAACTGTAGGTTAATGTTGATTCAGTTCAGGTTCTGATGCAGTTTCTTATTACAGAGGGAGATAAAAACAAAATTTAGGCTTCAAACAACAGGTTCACATTCGGTCATCTGTCTCAATACTGCATGACCACGGGTACATACTAAAATACTAACTATTGTACATGAAGAGAACACAGCAGTGGAAGAAGTAATCAGATTCTTTTCTTAACTTAAAGTACTTATACCACACTGTAAAAATACTCCACTACAAGTAAGAGTCTAGCATTCAAAACGTTAAGTAAAGTATATAAATATTATCAGCAAATGTACTTTAAGTAAAAGTATTCATTATTAGGGGTTATTATTAGGGGAGACCGGGTATGGTTGTAACATTTGTATCCCAGCACTTCTAACTATTTGGGTCAGAGCTCTCAAATTTTTACACAAAATACCCTTACTTGAATAACAATGTTCCCTATGTTCGAATACAAGTTACATCATTCTAACTTCAACAGCATCAGTACTAATTAAAATATAGATCTGCTCCAAAAAATTACTTTCATACCTGAAAATCAGTGTTTGGGCTGTAAATTCTGCACACTCCTCACGCAGCTGTGAAATTTCACATGCAGGGTCAGGAACGAAGTGCTCATACAGTAAACGTATTACATGACTCTTATGTCATCTCTTCTTGGTGAAAGTGGTGCTGTTACAATCACACCCGGTCCCCCCTATATATGATGATTCTGTGTCAATAATCTGCTGCAGTAATGCATGTGTTGCATGTTACTGTTGTAGATGTTTAAGGTTAAGCTAATGTTTACTTCTTTTTATCCTCTTGGGTAGTTTAATCTGCAGTAATGCATCACATTCAATAAGACCATCATATGTCACAGTCAAATCGACCCCTCGCTCCTCCACAGCGCCAGCCTCTGGCCCAAACATGGTCACTTTTGGCTGCAAAAACCAAGATGGTAATGGCTATAATGCCAAACTTGAGGCTTTAGAATGAGAGTCCACAAACCAATGGGTGACGTCACAGTAGCTACATCCATTATTTCTGCAGTCTATGGACTCAACACATAAAACAACAGCGCATCCTTTAGTTTATCACCAACATTCAAAATCAGCACATCTGGCGATACATGGTTCACTGGACAGGAGGGGTATGACAATTTATAATCTGTAAAGTAAGTAAAACTGTATCTGAGTAAAAAGTACTGTGAGATTTAATGGAGTAGAAGTTTAAAGTAGCATAAATGGAGGAACTAAGGTACAAAAATCTCAAACTTAGTTACATTACACCACTGCGAGCACATGACAGAAAAATTCTACCTTGTATGGAGAGGAAGAATGAATTTAAAGGGACTCCCAAGTGGATAAGTTGTCTGGATACAGTTCACAACATGGAGGTGGCTCAGCTGGCAGCTAGCAGCTAACGGTGCTAACTACATAAACAGCGTTAAGCAAACGCAACAGTGCTGACAGAGCAAACAGTGCTAACCAGGGGAAAACTGTAGAGTGGGTCCTACGCTTCCATAATGACACCACCCTAAAATTATAACTAACCTATGAGTGGCAATGAGTTAGCCAGTGGAATACACATGTGCATTAACATGTACGCGTAGCCAAACTAGCTCATTAACAAACAAGGAGGTCAGATTACAGCGTACACAGAGGGAGCTTTACTTCATTCTCTGCTCAGGACGCCATTACTCTACTGTATCTTTACATAGCAAACAGTGGCTTGTTGCTAGTCTAATGCTCTGAATGTTGCATAAACAACAAATGACGCTTTCAGTGTACATATGGTCATGTGTGTTTCGAGACAGAGTTATAAACATACATTCCCTAAAACTAAACATTTACAAATCCTCCCCTGAGGTGCCGACTTCTCTTCCTTTGACAAAGAGGATTTTACCGGCCTTAACCTAAATTCATAGTTTTGTGACTGTTTTGCAAATGCAGTGTATATCTTTACCAGTTAGTGTACAGTATTGTGGTGTTTTCTTGAACACACTGTGAAAACAAAGTGTCCATATCCAGAGCTGGTTGTGCTCCTTCACTCATCCTGTTGGTTCATTACTGCAGCCACTGTCTCACACACACCTCACAGTGGCCTCAGTGTAAGACGATCATGTTTCTTCTTGCATAATACACACGTCAACAGCACAGATACCATAATGTGCTGTAAACCAGGAAAAATTTCACTTTGGTTAGCACAGTTAAAGTATGTATCACCTGTTGTTGTGTAAGCCTTCAGCGTGGAGCAACAGCAGTCATGTCAAGTCATGTCACATCATGCAGGTAATGGTGATAAATTTCACTGAGGGGGAAAGTTCAGGACTGTTGTCTGCAGGTCTGCATGGAGGTTCATTCTGACGTGTTGGAGCACATCGACCTGCCTGTGTTTAGCGGCTAGAAGGCAGGTTTTAACCTACATGAGTTTGAGTTAGTTTAGACGAATGAAAGAAGTCCAGTAACACACTTACAAACACAACACTGCCTGTCCAAATCTACTCCATCGATCACACCTGCTGCCCCACTGAAATATGTCAAGGGTTATTTGAAACCGAAACAGAAGTTTGGAAATGTCAGATTTGAAACAGATAGTTATGGAGGAATTTGTCGTATTTCATACATACTTTTCCTGTGTGGCACTGTTACACCAACCTGAATGAACAGTGCACCCTGCTGTGGACAAAACTGTCAATTACAAGCTGAAGCCAATCCACATTTGGAGCATTTTTGAGCTGCATGTTTAGTGTTTAAGTAAAGCCAACCATTTGTTTATATCCTCCGGAGGAACACAATGACACTATGACATAAAACTATTGAAAGTCAGGAAATACTGAATATAGTCTGAAATAAGCCTCAGATCTAACAATGCCTTTTTTCATGCTTCCATTGAGGTTTTCACAAGATTTTGAATGTCTGTCGTCAAATTTTATGATGTCATCACCCTAAAAAACAAAATCCTCCAAGAGAAACCTCATATTGTATAAAGTAATTCATTGGATAAATAAATACATACATGTAATTTATGGTGCTGTTAGATTGCTGCTAGACCACCCCGTCAGTACAGGTGTGTGCCAAAGTGAAAATGTTTTCTTCCAAAGGCTAAACACTGGATTGAAGTAAAAATATTTTGTCTGATAAAAACCGAGCAGCAACCTCCTGGGCTGAAAAATGAAGCTGACGAGAAGTGCTAAAAACTGCAGTTCCTCTAACGGCCACTTGAGGCTGGCTCCAGAACCTCCATAGACTCTCATGTTGAAATCCCACCTTTACAGCAGAAATAAACGTGTTTAGAACCTGGTACAAAAATTAGTTTTGGTCTCATGTAGTATATTTCCCTCTGAACAGGGCGTTTATTTTTATATAATGAACCTGTTTAAACTGAAAACCAAACCGGACCCCGGACTGGAGGAAGGGGTCCAGTTTGGTGACCTAAGAATTGTATCTCTGCTTTTTGCAGATGATGTGGTTCTGTTGGCTTCATCAAACCACGATGGAACAATTGGAGCGTGAGATGGATGGGCGGTTTGGTGCCGTGTCTGCAGCAATGCGGGTGCTGTGCCGGACTGTTGTGGTAAATAGAGAGCTGAGCTGGAAGGTGAAGCTTTCAGTTTATTGGTCCGTCTACGTCCCAACCCTCACCTACTGTCATGAGCTCTGGGTAGTGACCGAAAGAATGAGATCGTGGATACAAGCAGCCAAAATGAGTTTCCTCTGGAGGGTGGCTGGGCTCAGCCTTAGAGATAGAGTAAAGATCTTGGACATCCAGAGGGAGCTCGGAGTAGAACTGCTGCTCCTTTATGTTGAAAGGGGTCAGTTGCTGTGGTTCGGGCATCTGTTCAGAATGCCTCCTGGGCGCCTCCCGCTGGAGGTGTTTCAGGTATGTCCCACTGGTAGGAGGTCCCAGGGCAGACCCAGAACACACTGGAGGGATTACATATCTCATCTGGCCTGGAATGCCTCAGGGTCCCCCAGGAGGAGCTGGAAAGTGTTGCTGGGGAGAGGGACGTCTGGAATGCTTTGATAGGCCTCTGTGACCCTGTGACCTGGCTTTCGGATAAGCAGTTGAAAATGGTTGGATGGATGGAACCAGTTTGAATTTGATTAAAACCTAAAATTATGCATAATTAAAGGCGGGGACACTTTGAATGACATGGTTGTCTGCAGGGCGTTGCTATATTCTAGATCCACCCTCTTGTTCAAATATGGTCACTTCTGGCTATGAAAATCCAGGAAGGCAACGGCCAAAATACTAAACTCAGGGCTTCAGATCAGGAGTCCACAAACCAATGGGTGAGTCACAGTAGCTATGTCCATTCTTTTTACTCTATGATGTAAACACAAATTGTACATTTTGTTATTAATAACATCTTTGTTTTTTAAATAAATTTGAACTTTTAGACCTAAACTGCTCTGGAGTTATAGAAAATGTTTGCATCACATGAGTCAGAAACAATCAAACGCAGCACCACCGAAATCTAACTCTACAAATAATATAATACTGATTTTATGAATATGGCCTAATCTTTATCTGCAACTGTGCAGAAATACTGTTTAAACACAATAAATAGACATGGGAAAAATAAAAGCTGCACAGCATTCGAATGTTTAGAATTTGAATGTCAACGCTGTGAATAAAGCTTCAAACTATTTGGTACAGCCCTAACTAGATCCATACATACATGTGCATACTGGAAGGGACATGTTTAAATGTTCCCCCGCTTCTGAACCCAAAACTTGACTATCTAGTTGCATTGTAAGAATTGTAGAATATTGCATTTTGGGGGCTTGACCTTTACTGGGGACTAAACGTCTACTGCTTTGTATGAAATGCCCCTGCTGTAAAACAAAAAAAGTTCACCATGACACATCAACTTTTTATGAGTTTTTATTTATTTATTTATTTGATTTTTAAGTGTTTTATTATTTTTTTTCTCCAAAAAAATCCTGAGGTATTCACAATATAATGGCATTTATTCTGTTTGAAATGAGACTGGGGGGGGGGGGGATAAAATACAGTCAAAAAACAAAACAAAAACAGAAAACAAAAAAACCCAGAAACAGGCAGTAAAGCTGTGTCGATTGATACAACTGTCAAGACAATAAATCCGTGGTGTTGTACATACAAGAAGCCTCTGAACTGCAACAACGGAGACTGAAGTCAATCCTCCCCCCCACCCTGCAAACTCGCAAAATCATGCAACCTAGACTGCATTTACAAAAAAAGAAAAAAAAAAAGAAAAAAAAGAAAACAAGCAACAAACCTCAATGATATTTCAAAGCAGGCGTGTCCCACCTCCCTAACAGGGAGTGCAGGTTAATAACAAGCCAATCAGTCTGCTATCGTAGTAGTTATCATCAGCTGGAATACCTAAAATTTAAAAACACAAATCTAGTCTGCTTTGTAGCTGGCATTCAGATTAAAAACCATCCAAGTTTCAAACAATACAAGCTTTAACTGGGAGTTATTAGCAAAGCACTAGAGTTCAAATACATCATGGCTCCATTAAACCATGAGCAGTTTGTTTGTTGGGGCCTTCTGAGAGGGGAAACAGTAAACAAAACAAGTCTGACAGTCACAGTAAAGCCAGAGACAGTGCGCCTTACTGTGCTGCAGGTTTCTATTTAACCTGTTACTTTATAGTCCGTATGTTAGTGTGATGAGTTGAATACAATATTTAGCTTTCTGTACACAATGTAAAACGCCAATGAGAGACTACTTGTCTATGTTGAGTCCTGTTTGCCCTCCACAAAAAAGCAATACACATGAAAACAAAATAAAACCAAAAAAAAAGAAAAAAAGAAAAACATACAAATGACCAATAAATAAATATCAGTGAAAAAAATACACTGTTGAATCATTTTCTTGCTCTGTGTCACAGATCTACTGATTGATAAAATAACTGCTGCGACTTTAAGAAAAATAAGGAAAAACACCCGATTATTTTCCTCTCGGCACAACAATCCCAAATCTGCAACACAAAACAAAAACAAAATAAAACCCATCACAAGTGCAACATCAGTCACGACAGTCTCAGCATTAGGAAAAGGAAAAAAAAAAGCTCTGGTGTTTGACCAATCAGCTCATTACTACAGCATCAGACAAACCAGAAAGAATAACAAATAAAAACCATGAAATAGAATAAAAAATAAAAGCAGTGGGCAGGGATTGGGGGGGATTAAATAACAGCACACAATTTATGACCCAAACTGGGGTAACAAGAAATAAATCGATCATGATATCTGATCAAAGGAAAACAATATATAATAATAATAATAATGATAAAAAAATACTATTAGACTTTCAGTTCGGAGGTTATATTTACGTGGCGGTTTAAATAAGGTGGACACACACTACAGCGTAACGGTGAGAAAAACGATTGCGCCACCTTGCCAGTAAAAGAAACATTTAGAAAGACGGACAACGCCGTCCAGCTCTCAGCACTGTCTGGGTTTACCCATTTATTTTTTTGTTCAATTTGGTGTCATCTTTGCCCTGAATAATAATAATAATAACAACAACAATAATAATAATAATAAAAACAGTAATCATAGTAATCATAATAATAAAAAAAACAACGGACAAAAATAAAAGCTAATAATAATAATCACCATCAATAAAGACTTTTGGTAGACGAATAAACATCACACACACACACTCTCCGCTTGCGCACACAGCTAACTAAAAGAAAGACACACGACTGAGGGGAAACAGGACGTTTTCTAACAAACACTGTCTGCTAATATTGATACAGCTCCTCCTCGATGACTAGTGACGGGTCCAGAGTGAAAAAAAATATATATTGCAAAGTCGACAGAACATTTAAAAAATAAAAGGCAAAAAAGTGTGTCTTTTCCTAAGTACACAATAATTCAACATTTTCAAAACAAAAACAAACGTACAGACTATATGTGTAAAAATTATAAATAAGGATAAAGTTTTGTGCATCCCCGCCCCAACCAACCGTTGTCTTGGAAGAAAAAAAAAAAACAAACAAAAAAAACAAAACAATGGCAGTTACAACGGTGACAATAACATGCAATTGATATACTTTACAGCATTGATCTGTATCTCCCCCGCACTACAAACCCCGCTCTAACCCCCGTGTCCCTCCCCGACCCGAATACAATCCTTAAATATTTGTCAGCTCATTCAAAACATATCTCTTGCTCTCTCTTTTCTCTGTGAACTAGCTGAAGGCGGTGACGTTTGAGGGAGGGGACTCGAAAAGAAAAACACACTGTCGCTAACTCCAGTTTATCTGTAAATCTGTGTATGTACAGGAGGCTTTTCCCCCCCATCGAAGCAAGCTGACATGGTTTGAATGACTGCATAGTGAAAATGATATTTGGTTTACTTACAAATGGGTTTAGGACACACACACGCACACACACGCTCCCCCCTTGGTGCCAAGGCACAACGAAGGTACAGGATTTCTGAGCTAGCTGTAGCTGTTGCTGTTTGTTCACCCCTGGCGTCGCACCTGGGAAACTAATATACACATAAAGCCACTATTGGCAGTCGCCAGCATTGCTGTGTAGAACGCGATAGCTTTATACATTTGGTGTGTGTGTTTAGATTAGTCATCAGAATTTTTTGTCTCCTCACACACACATTCTTAGCACACCTAACCTGATTGGTTTCACAGAGGTGGAGCGTGGCATCATCACTCAATCAGGTGTTTGCACGCAAACAGCACAGCCAAGAAGCGAGTGTGTGTGCGTGTGTTTGCAAAATACACATCAGCTTAATGACAGAGAACGTCGACAGCGGGAGACTGGGTCCAGCTTTGTGTTCAGACACAAGTGAGCCGAGACACACGGACAGAGTTTGAACGGTGGACACTGTAGTGGGTGAGGGTTTGCCCCGTCTCTTATTGAAACTGCACCAATGAGTACACACCTCAGGCTGTGCTGGCAGTGCAGTACAGCTGATGGATGCTGAGCACCAGATCCAGGTCTATATACAAAAGTTTGAATGAGGAGGCTGAGCGGATCTGTCACGATCGGCCCTGAATCCTGTCATCTGCAGAGTTTACGAGAGCAGGATGACCGGCGACAAAAGTCCCTGTCGACTGTTGGAAGCTAAATCAGTTCCAGGTTGAGCTAACGGAGCTGTGCCAGCTCACCGTCGGATCTGCTCAGGAGCCTGTATCACAAAGCAACACGAGCTATCTTTGGGCTGAACTCAGGTTTAGTGGTGTCACAAAGCTGACTCACTCTTACCCAGGGCTGACCACCATCGTAACCTGTACTGCAGCTTAACTAATCCCCATTAGCTGCCGCTGACAGCCAATCTTCTTGGGGTCCACATGATGTCAGCGAATTTGATCTGAAGCTGCGAACAGATCGCCACAAGTAAGTTTACATTAAAGTAGGAGGTGATACAGAGTGTCTAATGTATCAGTGGAGTTACTTTGTTTCCATGATAATTACATCAGTTTTTTTTACATAATTATATGTCCACTGTGGGTTTAAAACAGAAGAGATTATAGATTACAACCCTTATAGCCTAATGAATGAACATCATAGCTACACATTAATAACACAGTGTAGATAACTTTCTATAGCCCCAGTGCTAACTGTAATTAAAGGCTGTTTTTACACATAAAGTTTAGTTTACTCATCAGTAGTGTTGTCACTGTACTAATAATTTCTAAATTTGATGATAACCCTTTAAAAATATCAATATTTGACACAATTTTCGATACCAGTGAGGGCATACCTTTTTTCTAAAAGATAAATAACAGGGCTATAATGTGTCAACAATTATCTTTTGTTAGTAGCAGAGAGCAGCAGAATGACTGCAGTAAACATTAACAATTAGAGAGTGCCAGAAAGCAGCTGGTACTAGTGTATAGATACTGCAGAAAATGAGAATAGTAATGGTTAAAATATTTGGAATTTATCGATAAATCTATATTTTTGACAACACTGCTCATCTGTTGTAATATGTCTTCTAAGATACTGGGTGGAGTTTTCCTATATTTGAAAAAATAGCTCCCATGAACATCAAGGTTGTTAAGGCCAATATTAGCTTATTGCAGATACATTGGTGTATATGTTGGTTAGGTTAAGACATTGCACTACGTAAAGAAGGTTTGAGGTAATTTACAACAAAGGCCTATATAGTTTTTTACCACACTTACACTAAGCCTTACTTATTCTACTCTACTCATGTGATGATATTGTATTTTGCATCGCTGACTAACGCTGTTTGCTGCTGCACTAACCTAACAATCTGTGTCATCTCATGTCATATCAAGCACTCTGCTCGTGGGTTTGATGATGTCACATTTGACTGACTTGTGATCAAAAGCTCTTTCACATGAACACACTCATGACAGGACTTGAAGCCCCAGAGTTAACAGAGCCGGTTGTTGAGCAGCTGTGTGACACCAGTAATCCAGGATTGCTCATGTTCAGTCAGACATGTTCAGACTGAGTTTACTTCCTGATGCAGGCCCTCAGAGAGTTGATTCACTGAGTAGAAGGATGAGCCAGCTGGTTTTATTGCTTGGCCCTTGTCTTGTGTAAGCACACCAGTCTCCCCCTGTACAGTATATGACACAAACATACACACACGGCGCTGCTATATTACAGCGCCCCCCTCCCTTCACCCTCTCCCCCTAGCTATAGAGAGATTTCATATATATCGTAGCTGAGAGTAATCAATTATAAGGTCAATAACAATAGTCATAACAATAACAACAACGCTCTTTCGTATTTTCGTTGAGTTGTGGACACCTTTGGTGTGAACTGTCAGGGTTGTCAAGCTTGCAGGCGACCTGTGGATGGATGGAGGGATGGACAGAGTGTAGGATGGATGTGACAAAAAGCATCTGGACAGACAGACATCCCTTTTAATCGTATCTACACTGTACACTTTAGTGTGATGCCATGAAATAAATGATTACCTACTTCCATTACACATAGAGCTACATTTGAGGTGACGTGTGTTTACATTTTGTGAGTTAGTACTTTTTGTGAAGCCGACCTCCCTGCACTTTCTCTCCTAAACCATCTCCCCGTCACTCACTTGCTTTTGCCCTCTTCAGACTTGCTCTGTATTTGGTAACACGTGTTGCATTATTTCACTTATTTGGCTTTAAAAAAGAAAAAGAAAAAAAGAATAAAGTATTTGTCCTTTGGGGAAAAGAAGTGACAGCAGCGTCTAAAGCAATAAAAAGTAGCAGCAGTAGCAATGTAAATAAATAACATTGTTTGAACAGTAAACATCATAAACACAACACGCACTAACTCACTTGCTTAAATCATAATTGGTAGGTTGGTGTAACACCATGAAAGCTTTTTACAATAACAGCTAGCCTCAGAGCTCAGCAGTCCTGTGAAACTTGGGCTGATGTTTCCCCTCCTGATATCCTCTCTCCTTATTCACACTTCACTTCCTGTCATCCAACACCAGTTTGACTTTTCTTTAACGTCCACTTACACTTCCTTAACACTCCCTGTCTTCCTTCTCACCTCACTTCGTCCTCTCCTCTCATTTTCCTGACATATTATTCTAAAAACTCATCTTTTCTGCCATCTTGACAACATTCCCGGATCTCACTCTCTGACACTTAACAGTTTCCTCTCTCCGTCGTTCTCAGTTCTCTGTGTCTAGCAGTGATTTGGTTTGGTGCGTGACGGGGTGTGGGAGGTTTGAGTCTGCACATCTAGCAGGCTTTGGCTGTGGCCCGTCAAGAGGGGAGGCAGTAGGACTCTAGTCAGACAGCCAGTCTCAGAAGACCTGCGCACATAATATGCGCACATGTGACTGGTTTAATCAAGCCTGACGCACTCAATTTTATCTTAACAATCCTCTAGTTCAGGGGTCTCAAAGTCAAATCACCTGGGGCACACTGGCCAGTTTGTTTTCTCCTAGATCTCTGCACAAACGCTAACACTGCTTCAGATTGTATTACCAGAGAACGACAGCTTTGTCCTCACAGAGAAGAAAGAAAACTGTCACACTGAACTCCAATTCAAATACTTAAAAAAAACTCTTGAAACTGTCTCTGCTCTTTTGGGGTTTAAAAAAGAAATGTAGGTGTCAATTGTGCTATGCTAAACCTGCGTGCTGTTGGTCTTAGCTTATGGTTGGTATTATATATGGTAGGTATACCATTTGTATGGTATTAATCTATTTGCTGTTTGACAAGAAAATTAATCTGCAACAATTTGATGATTTTTTTTCAAGTAAAATTGCCAAAAATTCACTGGTCAATATTTCAAAGGTGAAGATTTGCTGCTTCCCTTTGTCTTATAAGACAGCAAACTCAAAATTAGTAGTTTTGGAAAGCAATTTGGACCCTAATCCTTGGACTCTGGAAACTTGACATTTTTCTGATTGAGCAAATATTTAGAACATGATTAGCAAGATACTGGGAGATACTGAAATCATTAGCGCATTAGTACATGCCTGTAAAAAGTACATGATTACTTTAAAATAGGCCTAAATGACTATTAAGACTAAAAACATCAGAGATAAGGCAAAAAAACATTTCTAAATTCTAAACCTGGTCAGCTTTATGACCTCACAAGCCTCATCTGACCCCTGTGCTTGTAGTTTGAGACCCTTGCTCTAGCTTCTAACACCACCAAAAAAACGTGCTTTATCAAGACGTGTCTGTGTGGTTCTTTAATGTCTACATCTCTCAGCCTCCACCGACAACAACCTACACGCAGCCTTTGGTCTGGTAACACTGTGGAGCACTACATCACACTAAACAGCAGAAGCAGACAGAGAGGTGGACAAAGAGGAAGAGGTAGACAAACAGAGAGTGAAGTAAAGAAATGCTCCACAGTTAATAAGATCTACCCCATTTATATTCTTTGTACAAGACAAGCTCCTGTTCTTTGCCTTCTCCATAAAAAAAGCACTCTGCTCCCACTTTTACCTCCAACGTCTAGTTTCTCACACTCGTAACAGTTTTTCAAGCTTCCTCACAGTCATCAATGGGAGTGCAACTCCCCTGTTCTTCTACGTTCTCTGCTTTTCTCTTCAACATTTCTAGAAAGAGTCAGACACTCCTCCTTCTCTCTAACTCATCCTTTCTGTTCTTAGTATGCCTCCATCTATTTTAGATCATCCAAATCATTCTGAACACATAAATATAAAACCATACACGACCCATTTTCTACAAAGCTACAATGCAACACTAATTTTTTTGTAAGTCTTTTTCATCGCGTTTTCCCAATTGTGCAGCTGCTAAATACAATGACAGGTATTGTAAATATAATTTATATCAAAGTTAATGAGGGTTAAAATCCTTACATGTTAGAAATGAAGCACGGACAATAGATTAATTCATTCTGGTTTGTGTGTTAACAGCTGTAGTGTGAGGGTGAACAAATGGCTAGGAAATATTATCTCACTTTTAAAAACAACCAGTGACTGTGTCTTGATATTCATACACACACAAACACACACTATCTCTCTCTCTCTCTCTCTCTCTCTCTCTCTCTCTCTCTCTCTCTCACACACACACACACAAACACACACACACACACACACACAGATTCAGCCTGAGAATGTGTGATAGTAGAAACACCTGAAGAATCATAATTGCACCGGACATTGGTGTGTCCTCCATAACGCTTATGTACAAGAGAGATTCAGGTTTGCTAATGTAGCAGATGCTTTGTTCCAGTGTGTAGTGACTACTCTGTTGACTAATCCAAGGGCTTGGATCAATGCTGGAGACAGACACGTAGGTGAAAGACTAATGGAAAGTGGAGGAAATGTAGAAACATACAAAATACACACACAGTTTGTATGCGAGTGCGTGTGGCTTATACACACACTGTGATGTGACATGATATGATAACGTGACGAGACGCAACAGTGTGTAAACGAAAGAAGCTAACTACAGTGTGCACCCTTTTCTCATCCCTCCTTCTCATGTCTGCCTGTCCAGATTCAACACTCTGATAAACAGATCCACCTGTGTCATCCATCCATCCATCAGTCCACGTCTCCGTCCATCACTCCATCGAGTCTCCGTCTCTCCCCCTCCTCTGTGGGCTCTCCGGTGGACAGATGGACAGGCGGGCTGGGTCTAACGCTAGGCTTAGCTGCTAACGCTGGGCTAGACTAGGACAGACTGAGTCTGGGCTTGGCAAAGCTAAAGCTAGGCAAGACTAGCGTCTGGCTAAGCTAACGCAGGGCTGGGCTAGGCTACCTACTGAAGAGCGAGTGGAGCTGGTGCTGATGGCTGTAACACTGGCTGCTGCGAGGCGACTCGGTGCGATCCATCACTGTCTGGAACCAACCGGCCACGTCCACCTCCAGCACCTCGTAACGGCGGATGAAACTATGCTCCTGTGTGAGGGAGACGGACAAAGAGATACAGTCAGCATGACACAATTCACAGTTCCATCTGACCACTGGCTAATTCAAGTTTGTTGCTCATTCTGACAAGCGTCTTACCAGCAGCTGGTGGTATTTTGGCCTTTTTCTGTGATCCTTTGTGAGGCTGTGAATTACAAAAATGGACATTTTAAGGCACGTTTAGTCAAATTTATTTATACCAGTACAATGCACATTCAAAATGTGCCCTGAAATGGGTAGATTAGCTTGACCTTTCGGTATTGCTGTATCATGCTGAATCCTGCACTGACTGATGTAATTATGTGAACACCCCCCCATGTTTGAATCCTGTGCAATGTAACCTTTGAATGAATCAACCCTGGCCTGATTGCCTGAACCAAAGCTTTGTTTACACACCTGAATGCCATCAATACATCCTGATGAGCTTTTTGTCTTGAGAACAAAGGCATGAGGAGGAAGACAGCGTCAATGTGTAAAGAGAGAAAACAGCTTCCCATCTGTGTACGTATAAAAGACTAAACTTTGTCTTGTGTACCATGCTCCGAGCAATAGACAATAATATTTCAGTTTTGTCTCATTCCCCGTTGGGATTGCAAAAGTGCTATGACAATCTCAAGAGCTTGTACTCAACACCGCACTTCCTTGTGTTCTCAGCAATAAAACCGTCAAGTGTGAAGTTGGTCAGATGAATGATTGTTGAGAGCCACCGGACGGACATACAAACAGAGACTCCTTCCATTTTAGTAAGAAAGCACATTTGTTTACAGGAAAATTCAATGTCCTTTACATTAAAGTGTATACAGCAACAAGTAATACGAGACTATAATCAATAAAATATCTGAACAAACGAGAACTACTGCCTTGTGATTGTATGCCTCTGCAAACCTTATGTAGTCATGACAGTCCACAATTCTTCAAATGTGGATGTTGCTGAAGAGAAGCTACAAATTTTAAAACATGGATGCTTCACACACATTTTCCCCTCAACTGTGATCTGTACAACAGTTTCAAGGTGGGCACCCAAGATTAGTGTCACCAATGCAGTATCTGACCAAATGTCTCTCCTTCTGTTGGCATTGACTCATGGCCAGAAAAGTGTTTTAGCAGAACATTATGATGTCACAGTGAAGTTGACCTTTTGAATATAAATCTTCATCACTTCATCATTGGACATGTGTGTGACATTTTGTCATAGTTAGCGTATGAATTCTTCAGTTATGGCCAAAAACATTTTTTGTGAGGTCATGATGACCTTGACCTTTGGCCACCGCATTCTATTCAGTTCATCCTTAAGTTCAACTGGAAGTTTGTGCCACATTTGAGGAAAATTCCCTCATGGCTTTCTTGAGATTATTACATGGTCCAAGATCACAGTGACCTTGACCTTTGACGACCAAAATCCAATCAGTTTACCATTTAGTCAAGTGGATCTTTGTGCCAAATTTGAAGAAATTCTTTCAAAGTGTGCTTGAGATATGGCATGGACAGACAGACAAACAACCCAAAAACATAATGCCTCTGGCCACAGCCGGCGTGGAGGTATAACAACACTGACAAACACCCACCACTAACATATATAGGTCGGAGAAAACAGAAACATTTTCAATTTACTTTCAAATGTAGACACACCTGTGACAGATTTCAGGTGATCAGGCAGTTTGGTCTAGAGCAAAGGGACAAAGTAGCTAAAAGCACCTTCACTAGATCCTTGATTTTATACCATGTACACTTAGAAGAGACAGAGAGCGCTCCGAGAGCTCCGACTGGATTGTAGCCAGTGAGCATCAGTTTTAGAAAAATTTGTACTGACCAGTCTTTGACGAAAGACTGGAAGTCGAGGGAGAAGCCCATGCCGAGAGGCAGCAGAGGAGGATCTTCCTGCAGCACTTTGGTCAGAACCTCAAAGTCTGTCTTGCAGTTCTTGTAGGGAAACTGTCCTGTAGCCAGCTCCACCTAGAGGACACAAGGACCCATTAACATCCACCATCATCCACCATAAAGCAGCACCACCTCTTCCTGTATGCTTATAATGAATTGTGCATAGAACCGTGTATCTCCTGGGCGGCCCATACCACTGGCAATGTATATTTACACCCAAATGGTAATAATAATAACTTTACCCATGTGTGCTTTTTACTAGTGAGGGAGATAAACTAGTAATTCATAATTATCAAAAATCAAATTTTAGCATTTTCATCCATCCACGTCAGAGGTAACAATCAGGTAACATGTCATGACTCTGTTCCAAGCTGTAGAACAATGGATGAAGCTACAACAGGAAATTCAGATGATATGAGGCAAATCATCACTGGCCTCAAAAAAAATATCTCTATTATTATGGCTTTCAGAGAGAACTAGCAGTTTGTGCTATGCCAGCAGGCTCCGGTTGTGAACAGTGCGTCTGAGTTCAGCACATCAGAGCACCATCCCAACACAGCTGAGTCTGTTTACACTGTGCTTGTGCCAACAAGTTTGAGACTGTATACAAATATCACATGCCAAATGTTGAACTACTCCTTCTTTATCTTTAGTGCATGAGAGGCAAATAAAAAGCTTCAGCCATGGCACCCTGTCATGTTACCCATCACCTCATCACACATCATAACTGTGCATTACAAGTGTTTTAAGCTGCGTGATTTTGAGATGGGGTGAATATTTAATATTCTGACATGTTGGAAAATGTTAAATATAAAGGTAAATAATGTATTTTTTAATGCAATGACATGTAGGAAGCACAATTTTTGTGGCACTCCTTACCAGTCCTTCTAGCACCCCTGGATGACCCAGCACCCGCTCTGAGATGAAATGAAAGCAGTCTTACCAGAGAGATGCCAAGGCTCCACACGTCTGCTCGGATGTCATAGTCAGGTTTGGTTGGGTCTGGAGGGTCTATTCTCTCAGGCTGCAAGAGTACAGGAAATTCTCTGTTTATGGAATCTGTGTGTGTCTCATGTGTCTACTTTTACATTTTCCGTTTGACAGGAGGTGATAACTTTGTGTGTGAGATACTTGTAGTTCTATGAATGCAGAGTGTGTGGGTTTTAACTCACCGCCATGTAGGCAGCACAGCCGGCACTGCGGGTCTTGGCCTTGGAGTCGACGAGGCGTCCACTGATGCCAAAATCACACAGTTTGATCTGACCTTTAGCATCCAGGAGGATGTTGGAGGGTTTGACGTCCCGGTGGATGACACCGTGTTTCTCTTTCAGGTACAGCAATGCCTTCACTATCTGGAGCGGAAACACACACAGTAAGAATATAAAAACGAAAGAATCAAGTGGGCAGCATCAAGCTTACCAATCTGTGTGTGTGTGTGTGTGTTTCTTTCACTTACTGCCACTGTCATCTTTCCAAGGATTCGCTCTGGGATGGGGCCCTGGATTCTCTTCTTCAGCTTCTCAGCACACGTCCCCATCAGCTCCATGGCAATGAATACATCCGTCTGTACATGAATACAACACACACACACATCCAGCTTTTAGCTCTTCACATCAGGAGGCACTGCAGGGGACTGTACTGACATACAAGTGTTAAAGAAGGGTGCTTATATAAAAATAAAAAAGAGCTGCAGTTTGTTAGGGGAGACTGAATTACTAAGAAACTCTGATTACGACTATCCTACTATTTTACTGTCAAGACTACAGACAGTGATATATTTTGGGGACACCCACGTTGGTAACTATGGCGCCGTAGCACTGGATGATGTAAGGGCAGTCATGGCTCTTCAGCACCACATCCAGGTCCATCAGGATCCTCTTGTTCTCATCTTTGTTGCCCGTGCGACGCATTTGCTGGTGACACACACAGAAAGACATCTAAAATTCCTGCCAGCATTTAAATATATGAAACACTCACGATGCCAAGTGTGCAAGTTAAGAAACAACCCGTTGGGAGATCACAAAACAAAGACTCCCATGGTGAGCTGACTGACTGCCCAGTTGTTAAACAGCTCAGGCGGCTACAATTAAGTCATCTCTTAAATAGGAGGGTTGTTATGTGGGGTTATTACCACCACTGTGTTGGTAAACTAGTGACAATTAAAAGAGCAACAGACAATAACAGGGCTAAGTGTTAGCATCAAGGTCCTACTGCATTATGATCATGTTGACTGATGTTTGAGAGTTCATGTCTTTACGGTCCCTGCCGGGAAGTTTGTTCTTGTATTTTGAAAATTAGCCTCAAGTCAATACATTACCAATCCATGCATTACAATTTGTTTCCATATATGATAAATTGTACAGAATTAGTAAAGCATTTATAATTACAACAACAACAACAACAACAACACAATGCTCATATTAGGGAAATAAACTAGAGCTGCTGTTGCTGAGGTTTATTATCTCCTACCATCTTCCCAATTCTTTTTAGCACAGCTTAAATTTACTAGCCAGCAGCTTACAAGGAATGCTTAGAATTGATTATGTCCGTAAATAAGTAATTAATGTAAATTATGTCTTCATAAACCTAAAACAAATCATCTAAAATACAGTGTCCTGTACAGAGCCTCCTCTGATTGGAAGCTGTTACCAACCCCCATCAAATACATTACTAAAGGCCTTTACACACCAGGGCAACAATGAAATGGCATGAGATACAAAATACTCGCCCGGGAATATTTAACATCAAAACTTTGCATACCAACAGTGATGCAAATTTGCAACAGTTGCAAGAGGTCTGCCATTGTTGTGACTCTGTGACTGGACATCCACTCCCTTGACACATGATTGGTTGATGGCTTTATTTGCGGTGTGAAAGCTCAGAAAAATCTACCTTACTCTAATAATAATAATATGTTTTGGCCACATAGTATTTGCTTTCTGTGTGAAACTACTTACTTTTAGGTATTATGGTGTAATGTAGCGCATTTTCATCATTTTTTTGGGCCTGTGTCTTTCCTCGTTCTTGGTTATGTACCTACTCTGTCCTGATTTAAAATAACTGACCTGTAAAACACTGGTCTAAATGTGGGATCCACATGCTAGCAGGCCAACTTCATGAGGAAAGACCATGGTGTTGTGTGAACAGTGAACAGGTGGGTGCAGCAGGATCTTACTTTGACAGCGATGACATGGCCGGTCTTCTTGAATCGCACTTTGAAGACCTGTCCGCAGGTCCCGCTGCCGATCTCCCCTTCACTGATCAGGTCTGTCACCTCCGCTGGATACCGCTGTGGAGGCACAAACAACCAAGACTTTAGATCATGCAAACTCCCTGAGCTGAAAATAGATGAGAGAGGCCAGTTCTGATTTTCTGCTTCGCAAGGCAACAGTAAACCCCTCTGGGTTATTTAGTAGCAAATGTTTTGATGTGTAATTAAGCTGCTCCCCCACTGGCCATGTCTGAGAATACCAGCATGCAGCACGGAGACGCATCGTTTCCCTGCTTCGTTAAAATTAAATCATTGGTGACTGAGCTGCTTTGAGTGACGTCTCATTGAGCACTTGATGTAGCAACCCCTCAGGGCTAATGAGAGGAAGTAAAAACAATCTGGAGTGCAGAGATGAGTCAAATCATTTTCTCAACCATCTTCAAAACCCTGACTGGCACTGACTGTGATAGTGAGCCTGAAGGCTGAAGAAGGAAGGGAAAACAAAAACAAAATGAGGCCAACCCCATAGTCAGCCTCGATTCTATCTTCGTAGACAGAAACAACAAACATCTCACTGTTTTTGAGTTTTTATAATTTTCTGATTATTGTCAAAGAGAAAAAAAATATCACACAGAGCTGTTGTTTTCCTTGATAGAGATTCTCTGCTCTATCCAAGGACAGTATGTGGTGTGGATGTTTGCTTTCATTGAATTTTTACTTTGACTTGTTTTAACAACTGTCTCCGTTCTCAATGTACCAGCCCTCCTACTTTGTCATTGTATGGAAACAGATTCCTTGTGAATACTGAGGAGAAAATAAAAAATCTTTCTGTTTAGCGATAAGGCATATATCTGGCTTATTTTATATTTTAAGTTGCAATAAAAGACCACAACAACAGCAGAGGTCAATGGCACAGAGGAATAAAATATATGAGACTATATATAAGACTTTGGCTATTTTAGTAGGAACTGTTAGTTGTTTTTTTTAGTTTCTCGTGGGATTTGATGACCCCCAGATGATGCCTCATAACCTCTCAACCTAGTTTTCACTTATGTAATTCATGACATGTAGGGGATTAACATTACCAGATGAGAGAAACTCAACATGTGTCTCTGTGTGTCACATCTCACCTGACCGTCGATCTTCAGGTAACCCGTCTGTTTCATGATCTCCTGTAATTTCTGGTCAATCTCTGCACTGTGGAGACAAAACACACACAATAATGCACAATGTGAGGGAGTGCAAATGCTTTGTGAAGTATGTTTCAGTGTGAAACATTCATAGCTAGATGAGAGAGAGCCATCTGACTCACAAATGGATGCTGTGTGTGTTCCTGTACATCTCTTCCACCCACACACACACACTGTGCATGTGGATCCATTATGTGTAACACAACCTACTCTTTTTTAGATGACCCTTTGTTCTGCTCCCTACCTGGTGATAGTGTGTTGCTGTGCTGTGGTTATGTACATGTTTGTGTGATGATCTTGTGTGTGTGTATATGTAAGATCACTGTGACTCTTGTTTTTTTTCTCTCGAGGTTTACATTCATAATTCCGCTGTACTTAAAATGTTGTTTCATTTTCAAACCAGATGGTTGTGATTCAGCGTTACGATTGCGTGAGTTCACTTATCTGCCATTCCCTGAAAATTATTTATTTAAAATAAAAATATATAATATATCTTTAATCATCTTTTCACCATCTTACAAAAGCATTACGTCATTCAGTTGTGCATGCATTTACTGATGCCACTTAAACACAACGTTAACTTTTAGAAGACAGTTTCTCAGAAAAAAAAAAAATGTAAATACACAACACAGTTTCTCAGTCATCTCATTGCTCAGATGAAAGTCACATACTTCTCTAAGCTCTTCTGCAGGCCGTACGGAGGCGTGGGCAGGGTGAGCATGTGTCGCGGGCGGCTGGGGTAGGGATGGTGCTGAGGCGAGCTCTCTGAAGACGATGACCGGCTGCCTCCATCGTTGGCTAGTGGCAGCTGGAGCGCTGCGTTGGGGGGGGGGGGGATACATGACACATTAGAAACAGACAAGAGAACAGAACGAATGGTACAGTACGTTTTGCACCCGAGGCCAGCATGCCAGAAGCTGTAAGATGGCTATGTTTATTCATGCATTCACTGACTCCATTATTTTACTGGTTGAAAGCTGTAATGCACCAGTGGAGGAGGTGATAATGTACATTATTTGTCCTTTATTAGCTTTGATTAATAGATTTCAGTGCTCTCTCTGACTTTGCATTTCCTTCCTGAACTCTTCAGATTTTTTTTTTACACTAATTAAAGTGTCTGATGAGAAGAGAATGTGATCTATCATATCCTGTGTAGGACCGACTGAAAATTACTTCCCATGAGACGCCAAGAGAAACTGGCCTTGGTGAGGTCAAAGAGTTCTCTCACTACAGCCCTGCTATCGAGACCCCGCACAGTTTATAACCAGCATATGAACTTGTTGTTTTTATTTCCCCAAAGCTTTGTTTTTGTTTCGCTGATGTCCCGACCTAATGTTAAAACAAACAGGACAGTTATCTCAGAGCAAAAGCAACACCATTCTCAGGCGGGGAGGGACGGCACAGAGTTAGCCCACAGCTTGGGACAGTCAGTTTAGGGATGTGGAAGTCCACAGTTTGTGTTTTAAGGAAAAACTAATTTTTTTTTAATACTTGGGGTTTTCTTTTATTGTCTGCAGCCATCAGTTTTATTAGTTATAACACTGAACACACTGAACGACTGCTGAGATCTCAGAATGTAGCAATGTTGCAAAAAAAATACAACCAACAGGGAAACAAGTGTGAGCAGTGAGTCCATCATACAACTGTTTGTTTGGAGGTGAAACCAAAAGAGTGGCAAACAACTGGGCAACATTAAACCAGAAAGTCTGAATTTCTGAAATGTAATAGATGTTAAAGGAATAGTTCAGATTTTTTGAAGTGGTGTTGTACAAGGTATTTATCAATTGTCAGCGCATTACACACAGTTAGCATGCCACTAGTTTGCAGAGGTGGCAGAAGAGCCAACACAAGATCTAAGCATGGTGCTGCTGTGGATGGAGGGCAGCAGCAAAATGTATTTTAGCCACCTAAAATGCTGCATTTCCACAGCTTTTCCTTTCCGTCAGACAGACCATTCCACTAGGGAAGCAGGTAATGGCTTCAGTTCCCCATCTATGCTCTCGTCAAAGCCACTAGACTCCATTGACAAAAACAGTCATTTTGGCTTGCTGAACACGGGTACTGACGGTTTACCCCTGCCTCAATCTGTATTTGTTTTGTTGTGTGACTTTGATGAATCCAAACTCACTCTTCTAAACTCCAAAGTCACACAATAACAAACAAAACAACTCTTCGAAGTTAGCTCCTATGTTCAGCAATGTTGAATCCCGTTTTTTCTCAACAAAGTCTGGCTTTGAAGAGAGCGATATAATTAGAACTCGCTGTCTACGTCAAGGTAAAGTGATGAAAATATTCTACATATAGTGTGCACTTAACTGATACTGATTTTTTTTTTTCTTAGGTAGGACTTTTTTGAGGTGGATAAAATATGTTTTGTTACTGACCCCCGTCCACAGCAGTACATTGCTCAGCTTTCATGTCAGACTCCAGCCTGCTTCTCCAAACTGGTGACATGCCAACTGACATCTACTGTATGTAATACACTGACTGTGGATAAGTACTTCATACAATCCCAGTTCAACAAATCAGAACTCTCTCTTTAACAACACACTTCTGTAATAATTTTACAATTCACTCTTGTTCTCCCTCCCAAATAACTGTGGCTTAGATGGGAATTTTTTCACAACCTGCATGATCATTTAACTGCTTGTACTTGTTGCCATATTGGGCAATGTTTTTTAGCAATGTCACTGTGTTCCCACATGTCAGTGATTTTTTTTTTTTGGTGAGTGCAATGTCATCATAACCAACAGAACTGATGACCAAAGTAATAAAAACAAAACCCAAGCTGTAATAAAGCATTGTCTGACGTAAAGCCAATATTATCCGCACAAAGCCACTCATCCTGATTGATATCCCTGAATGACTTTAGAACCCTAGATGCCAAAATGGCAGTTGTATGTCAAGTTCACAACTGACCGGCTGTTGCGACATGCTTTTAGCCCCGTAGGTCCAAATCATGCCTTCAAGGACACGTTTAAACTCAGCTGACCCTCTAATATCAGGTGTACGTGCAAGCAAGCACCAACTTCCTAGTGGAGATGTTCAAGAATTTCAGAAAAACAATTTAACATAGTGTTAGCACACACCTGTCATGCAACCAAATGCTCAGACTATGAACTATAAATGTGCCTTCAGGAGAGTTTAAACCCTACTTATTATAAATTTCACACAAGCAACTTTTTTAAATATTCAAAACCAGTTTGCAAAACACTTAGAGGACCATGCAGCTTGTTATTGTCATTAACATCATTATAGTTTTTTGTGTAGCAGCTCTCCTGAGAGTGCCAGCAGGTGTTTGTATCCACGAGTCACCTGTGGATGGATCAGCCTGTAAGGGGAGAATCAGTCAGTGAAGGGGAGGAGGGGGTTAGTATGGAGAGGAAGGAGGACTCAGGCAGTCTTTGGCACAGATTGCATCTCCATAGTTTGGCTGGCTCCAGATGGACGGATGTGAGGATAGACGGGCAGACAGAGCGAGGAGATGGGAAGACACGCAAACACAGAGATACTCGCAGGCACTGCTGCACCGCCTCCAGCTCACACAGTGCTGCTGCAAAAAGGAAGGAGGAGCGGGGGGGATGCCAGGAGATGAATAACAGACAAACAACATCAAACAGAGAGAGGGAGAGAAAGAGAGGAGAAATACGGCCAAAACTGCATAGCACAGACTAAGCTGGAAGTCAGACAGTCAGTCAGTCAGTCAGACTCCAACAGGAAGTCTTCAGTCGCCACACAAAGAACACAGAGAGAAAGAGCAGCCAGAGTGTTCACAGCACTCCTGCGGACGGACCAGTGGGGATGCTGGATTAGAGACTGTGTCGGACAAAACACAACCCGAAACATTGTGTCGTGCAGAAAAGCCACATGCACCGTGATTCTCTGCCTCCAGCAAAATGAAGGTTAATCATCTGACACACGTCCACACGCGCACACACACACATGGTGAACATCAACGCACACCAACACTGCCCTGCCACTGGCACAGACACACACAGACAGAGAGAGGAGTCAGAATGGAAAGATGGAGAGAGGATGTGATTTTAGGGGAGGTGTAAATATCTGCTGGGCTAAAATATCAGAACTGGTCGACTGATAATGGACTGAAGTTTTACCCCTTAGCGGAGATTCCTGTTTAGCTGTAAAATTACAGTTAGTGTGTGAGTGTAAGAGAAAGTGTGTGTGTGCTGGGAGGAGGTTTGGAATGAAAGAAAAAATGTATATGCTGACATGTTGTGGTTAATCCCTGCCTTTGAAACTACACCTTGTATCAATGTATGCTAACATACTATTATACTCTGCCTAAAGGACCATGTAGTTAGTCTGGCTGAAACAAAATATGCTCCTATATTTGCTGGAGAGAGTAAGCTGTCTTTTATAGCCACTTGTTAATGGAGTAGCATAGTTTTTCCTTTTTAAGACCGTAAGTGACGTGCATAAAAGTGTTAAGAAGACAAATGTGAGTAATTACAGTAAGTGAAATAGCAATATTAACGGCCTAACTAGTGAGAATGTGGGGAACTGCCTGTGTTTATCTCTGATAGGAGATAACAGATGAGGGAGGAGGGAACAGCAGGTGAGATGGGGGACACAGGTGTTGAGGGGGAGGAGAAGAGAGAGGTGCAGTGGCAGAGAGAGCGATGGATTGAATGATACCTGCACGCTGGGAAGGGGCTGGAGCAGGACTGAGCTGGATCACGATGACTAGACAGAGGAAAGAAAATATACACACACACGCACATTACTGCACTGTTCTACTGAGACAATCACATGCGCGCGCGCACACACACACACACACACTACCACTCACACACTGAATCATATAACAAATAAGGAAAAAACAGACTTTTTGTGTTCTACAAGGCCTCTGTTCTCCTCACACATAACCAAAACCCACAAAAGATAAGGCTGCAGTTATTCTATCTATTTCTTATCGTCAATGAATCCTATAAAAAGACCAAAATCAACAATGTGCTAGTCTGTCTTTTGATACTTTCCAACTTCCCCAACCTGTCTGTAAAATTGAAAGCCCACTGGTTCCTACTGAAGTTATAAATCTTTAAAAAGTGGGTCAAAACATTGAAATGGGTCAAATATTTCTTGGGGACTATTTTGTAGTCCAGCGTTTTTAACAGGGGTGCACTGAGGCAACTTAACACCAATACCTCAACTCAGAATAAATACAGAGTACCGACCCAAAACCAGAGGTTTCCTTACCCTGGGTTTATCATCGCATAAAATTTATTAGGATCACTTTATGAAGGGGAACTAAAAGTGAGGGATTGATGGTGAACTAAAAATTGAGTTGGTGGCCCGCTGTGACTTATCGACAATGGAAAACAGAATTAAAATAACACAAGAGACAACAACTGTATTTAATGAAGTCTGGTCATATCATGGCTGTTACCATCAACTTAATCAGGTCAGTGTTGCATTGAAGCAGAGGAATAATTCTTCCAAGCTTTGGATACTGTTTTGGTCTTTTCAAGAGATGTGTTGACAATAAGAAAAATACAGAATTATCCCTTCCTTTAACTCATTCATACTCTTCCAGACAGCTTAAGTAACCTCACAAAACATATTTTAAAAGAACAGAAAAAAGGAAAAAGAAGCAGGTTTGTGGTTACTGTCTCTCAAATCTCACATGAATGGACAAGAAGTGATGATCTGTAGGAAAGAATGATCTTTGAACAGTCAGATCAAGGATTCACATATTATTGGCCTGCGGTTTTAGAAACTACTATGTTGAACTGGTAAGATAATAAAGAGCTTTCTGTCTCCAGCACAGTGTTTATTTTGGTGTTAAATGTCAGTGAGCACAGGCATGTTGTAGACTCTGCTGCTGCTGAACTACTGAAGAGTTTTCTCCTCCAGACGGTTCAAGGGCCCAACATTACTGTTTCTCACCACTTCTTTTAAAACTCACTTTACTTCTACTAAAAACTATAGGCGACTTTATGTCAATAAATATGCAGCAGGCTGGATTTTAACCACTAACGTTATACGTTGAGTGGTAGCTTATTATCGCATACCAACATTAGCGGCGGTTGGTAACGTATGTTGAACGTTAGCTAGATGTGATAGCTTCCAGAAATTAGCGTCTGTTTCGTCAAGGGTCAAAACTGGCAGTGAAAACTGACTTTGCCGCGGGAGTCACGGGCAACACACAGCTTAAAATATATGCCAAGCTACATTTAAGGTGTAAATAAATGGCACCTCTTAATTATTTCATAAGAAGACTGAACACTACATCAAATTTTGAGATTGACGCTGGGCCTGCCACCGACTATCACTCAGACTGCTAGCCTGTTAGCCTAGCTTGTTTGACAGGACAGAATCAGAGCAGATTTCAGGACGTGACTGCCAGCGAGACACTTCATGACAGCGCTTCATTTTTTATTTTTAAGCTTCACTCTAGAAATTGTCCCACTTGTTAAAGCAAATGATTTGACGGTAAAATGACCCGAGCGAGCCGAGTCGGTGTTTGTTTATGTAGCTAGCCTGTTAGCATGTAGTAGCTAGGAGCAGCATAACACCCCCACTCCTTCCCTCCCTCCCTCTGCCTCTCCGATCTTTCCCCCTGCTATTCTGCCCGTTACCGACTCCCCGGTCCTCCCCGGTGGACACTCACTCGGCCTCGGACGTGATCGCTGTGGACTCATGTCGATGTTAAGGTCGATTCTCCGGCGAGCTTCTTCATTTTCCTGCTTTAGTTTCTCCTCGATTCGCGACAGCCTCTGTTCCAGCGACGACATCTTGAAAAATTGAGCACCATGTAGTTCCCAGCAGAGCTCTCGACTCCCCTCTCTGGCAGGCAGGCAGGCAGGGCCAGCTGCACACTGACTGACTGGACACACACACACACACACACACACACACACTGCAGTAATGTGACCATATTACAGAGTCATAGCTTTACAATTAATAATGATTAATAGTCATTTACACATTTCAGTCATGTGTGGTTATTAAGGAGTCAGACTGACTGTCCTTAAAGGAACCTGAAGAGTAAATTCAAGCTTAGTAGGTAACTCAACAATCTCAACTCAATGTCCACTTACTTACTTGTTCTGGTGCTTTCAACTACATCATACTGTCCTCATCGTAACATTCAGTTTGCTCACTTAGCAATAAACTGTAGATGTTCAAGCTTTTTCCACAGTTTTGAGCTCCTGCAGGACTTCTCATCCATGTCAACCTCAGAGTTAAGCTTGACAGTTCTGTACTTATCAAAAAATTATGTTGGCCGAGTTATCAAGAAACTGTGGACCACTGTTACTCAACTAAGCCCATGGGCCCGAGATAGGGTGCTGGGTGACCCGCTCACCATTTTTGAATCCACAATGAAAATAAAATGATTCACACTAGGATTTTTTCTGTACTTTGAATGTAATTAGGTGCCATGGTGCATAGAAAAGTGTCAAAATAGAGCTTGTTTAACAAAAAAAGTGCCAGTGGAGGATCCCCTGGGTACACCTGAGCTGTGCAGGGCTGCTGTGACTGGATATGCCTCTTGGCAAAGATGAGTGAGGAAGGCAAATGTCAAAAAAAAAAAAAAAAAAAATATTTCAATGAAAAATGGAAAGATTATTTTGCCTTTGTTTTGCCTTTGGTTTTAATGTGTGTTTACTTGATAAATATTATTAACCTTTGTTTAACGTTTGGCCTAACGTTTGGCCAAAAGTGACCCTGAGCAAAGCAAGTTAAGTATCCCTGTTGCAGATGTTCAAATTTTCCACAATTTTTTTCTCACCCACATCGACCTAAAAGATAAGTCTGACACTTCCTCTCGACCTTGTAAACAAGCAGTGGACCTGCTGTTCTCAGCCTTTCAACCGTTTATCAGAAGCTTTGAACATCTACAGTTCAGTGACATCTGAGCATTTTCTGAAGAAGTTGTGTGTTACAGTCGAAAGTTCCAGAACAACTGAGTAAGTAGACCTTGAGTTTGTTTTTGTTTTTTAACTCCAGGTAAGTACTTTGATACAATGCCCTGCACCCTGGGCACCTAAATGGTTTGACCCAAAAAAGCTGAATTAAAATAATCATGTAGTCGACTGAGGGAAAATTAATCTGCAACCATTTTTATAATCAGTTAATAACTAACCAAATGATCACTGGCACCAGCTTTTTTAAATGTGATAAATTGCCACTTTTCTCAGTTTTATGTCATAGGACCTTTACACAGAGGACATTTTGACATGTCACAGTAGGAAAAGCACATGTGTGAATAGTAAAATTAATGATGGCTGAATTCCATTTAGCTGCTTCAGTTTCAGGGTCCTCGTACTGAGCATGCTGGCTCAGTCACAACTTACTGGGAGACTTGAACAGAACAGAGCCATTGTTAATGTTATTAGTAATTTACTGTCTGAATATCTTTGGATGTGTGTACTTTTATTGGACAAAATAAGTAACAAGGCCAGTATATAGGGATGTGCAAAATACACCTTATTTTTTATTGATATATTTAATGTCTTGTCTTGTTGCTCTGTGTTTTAATATTGTCTTCATTATGTGTATTGTTTAATGTGCTGTTCCACAAGTTGTCCCTTTGGAGACATTAACGTTTTCTAAGTTCCAAGCAAAAACATGTAATCAAGGGCAATCGTATCTCAGCTCTCAATGCCACATAAAGCCAAAAACATGAACACTGATTTGATAATACCTGAATAATTTATTGTTATTTTTTATTTTATTTTTAATGTTAATTTAATGTTTTAATTAATTTTAATTTAATTTTATATACTTTATGAATAAATTCATTTTTTTCACTCTGTTGTCAATTACACACAGGTCTGAACACATACCTAGTGGAATGCACTAAGTGGAGCTGCCCATGAAAGGGCTCCAAGTGGTTGGGGGGGTTCGGTGCCTTGCTCAAGGGCACCTTGGCAGTGCCCAGGAGGTGAACTGGCACCTCTCCAGCTACCAGTCCATGCTCCATATTTTTTGGTCCAGATGGGGACTTGAACAGGTGACCCTCTGGTTCCTAACCCAAGTCCCTATGGACTGAGCTACTGCCACCCCAAATTAGCAAAGGGCCACAGGCTGGAGTTGAACCTGGGCCGCTACGGCAACAGCCTTGTACATGGGGTGCCTGCTCTATCCACTAAGCCACTGACACCCCCCTTGAATAAGGGGACATTTGAGCATTTTGCTTAAAAAAACACAACATTTTAATATAAATTCACTGCTTTGACTTCTCCCTGTGAAGTTTTGATAATATTTTCTCATAAGTATGTGTTTTGTAGAGATTAAAGAAGAGATATCTTCAAGTGACTGACAACTGGCTACAGAAAAGCAAACATAGAGCTGGTTTAAGGATTCAGGGAATTCAGATCCATCACACCTTCACAAGTGATCCAGTGACGCTCTCAGATCTCGGGGTCACAGTGTCATCCTGAAACCCAAACAAAATCCAAATACACAGATATTTTAGTGTTTGAGCTGAGGTGATATGGTTGAAATCAGTATCAAAGTATGTTTCCAATATTAATGATCGCACAAGCTAATGTTCAACATTAATGTGTTCCACTCTTCTACATCACAGAGCTGGAAGATAGTTAATAAGTTAATCAATAGAAAATTAGTCAGCAAGAATTTTGATAACCACTTAATCATTTACGTCATTTAATGAGCAAAATTGACTTTGCTGGTTTGATCCTCGCCAATGTGAGGATTTGCTGATTTTTAGCTATTTTATATTTTTTTTAAATGTGTCACTTTGGGGCCTTGCTTTAATTCGACAAAACAAGCAATTTAAAGACAAGCCAAGCCTGGCTGTGGCACATTTTGACGTGCAGCTTTATACATAGACTAAATGAATAATTAATAATTAAACAAAGATAATTGATCTAGCAAATAATCTTCAGATTAATCTATAATTAAAGTAACTGATAATCATTAATTATGAATGCAACTTTGTAAACAGATGAAAAACTTCACCTGAACAATAGTTTAAATCCAGAACAGGTCAGTGACCGATTAGGATCCTGACCCATTCATTTAAAATGCCTCTTTTCAAATGTGTTTCTCCCCTTATGACGTTTAATCACAAATTCCTACTCAGGGTCTGAAATTAGCACCTGCCTCCTGCCAGAGGTGTGTAAATTATTGGCAGTGGTGTGTAAAATTGTCAGACCATCCACTTCACTGGCGAACAGAGAGAAGGCACAACAGAAAGACATTTTAACTGCTATAGAAGCAACGCTATTAGCCACAGAGCCTCATTCGTTTTGACTGACAGTTGAAGCTCACTGAATTCTATCCAGTAACCATCAATAAAAAGATGCCCACGCACATCATTTACACGCCCACTAGGCACTGTATCAACTTTACTAACTCCTGTCAATTTCATTTGCAGGCATAGCTCAAGGCATAGTGACTGTATGCCCCTTGAACAAGAGAGATAACATTCTTTAAATGACGTATAAATTATCTAAATATTCTTCCTTCATTTAGCGCATAGATTTTAAAAATGGCAGATAAAATTGCTGAGTGACAGACCAAAAAACACTGGGCCTGTGACTGTGGCAGGTAGTGAAAAGAGTTGATTTCAGACCTTGTACTTACTACTCAAAGGCTTCTTCTTTTTTTTTTTTTTTTTACTGATATCATGTTTAACGTGCCTTTCTGCTCTCCCCTTCCTTGTTTAAATGATCAGTCCCATATTTTTAACAACAAAACACAGACAGCATATTCGCTCCAGGTTTTCTTTATAAAATAAGTCATCTCATACTCTCACATGGTTTTGTATGGTCATACACAAGATAAGTAAAGTCCACACCATCATACATACACAACAAACCTCTGTCTGTACTCAGAAATGTAAAGTGTTACACAAGTTTACACCACTGGCTCATATTCTCCAACATTTATCATTGTGTTTCAAATGATTTTCTTCATTTAGACATGTATGACCAGGAGAACTTGTTAACTGGGATCTGAGGCAGCGCTCACTGCAGCGAGATCTACTCTGGAAAAGTGGCTAATGAGGTTTGTTTTGCTTGTGGCACCACCCAGACTTTCCAAAATCACAAAGATAGCAATCGGTTTTCGTCTGAAACAGAGATGATTTCGTCACTAGGATGGAAACCAAACACTGCAACGACCATAACGGATAGTTTTGAAAACTGTTGGTGGCTTGAGTTCTTAAAACAGATGCTAAAACAACTGTTAGAGCCGGTGTTTGTTGAGTTTAAAGTCAGATATCGTCGTCTTGGAGATTACTTACGTCATGTTCACAAAACTCTGGTAGCATGAAGATGACTGGATGAATATGTCTCAGGCCCATAACGGACACACACACCTTACTCTTAGTGTTCAGATTCTTTTTTCAATTAAAGCAAAAATGACATAACTTGTTAGCCACGCAGCTTTTCTGCTGATGGTTGTGATTCTGTGTCTTTATATCAAACTACATAATATCCAATTACAATGTATGTGGTTCTGAATAATGCATTCATCCGTCTGATTCGACTGTCATAAATATGACTACGTTGCAAATTGCCGTTGTAACGTTTGTGGCAGAACTTAAAATCCAAGCAACACAAATTTTAAAAAGTAGTTGATAGAAGTCCAAAGTAAAGTAAAAAAAGTGGTTCTTTACCCCATAGTTAACTCATGATTCGCCTAGCATCAGTCAGCATGACTGAGGGTCATTGTCATACGACTGCTGCAGAAGCTTTGAGTACAAATTCACTCTGTTTCCACTCTCAAATCCTCTTTTTAAAAACAAAGTTCAGAGCATTTCTGCATCACGTCGGATCCCTCTTC